ACAATTGTAGTTGTTTGAAGACAGGGTTGCGAATTTATAATACCAATGAAATTTGCAATTTCGCTTATTTTATAAAAAATGTTGAACATATTGCCTGTATAGTAAATTTAAATTAATAACATAAATAAATTATCGTTATTTCATAACATTTCCTTATACACATAAGGCCAGCTTGATTGCAGCAGAAGTGGCCCTGTGGAAGAATTATGACTGAAAAGGAAAACAATCTGGAATATCTTTACCAGTTTAATTTTAACATCTTATAACTTACCTAAGAAATACTATTCTAAGTGGGTTAAATTTATCACTATCTTGTGTTCTGTTTTCTATTAAAATATTCACAAGAAAGGCTCAACCCTTTCTCATTTATTTTTTCCCATGCAACCCCTGTTGAAGTGAAATTCTATCTATATCTTAACTATACATCTGAGCTCCCGTTTGAATAAATGTAATATTTGTTGAAGGACAATGTATGTATATTATAACCTATAACTCATCACTGCTCAGCTTGTTACTAGTTTTTGTAAATTTCTGTATTATCAATCAAATTTATTGCAATATTCTGCAGTTAATAATCTAAAAGTAACTTATTATTAAGTCTATTTTTATAACTCAAACCTAAGTAAAAGGCACAGAAACCCAGGAAGGAATTTCATTACACTTACTACAATTTGGTACGATAAAGAATTAATTATTTTATTATTTTATAATTTATAGTATTTGACATAGGAAAGTTCACTATAATTCTTAGTATGAATTTTGGAGTACCATATTTTACAAAATACTTCACTAATAGTAACCAATGACGTGTATGAGATGTCTATGAGATGACTGTAACATGACAAAGTAGTATGATTATATAGGCAGTGTTAATAATAATTTGTTATTTTATTCAAAATAAATAATTCATTATTTCACATTTACTGCTCATCAAACTACTTTATAGTTTATAGTGACAGCGCTTTAATGTTAATTCAAAACCTGTCTAACCTCAAAGTGTTAGCTCTAAAAGGTCTGAATAGTTAACCGTGTCTATCCTCTATGTGATAGCTGTAACGGTTTAAAGCCTGCAATGATTTTTTCCGAGTCATAGTCCATCTTAATGTCTTCCTTCAAGTGGTAATGCTTTCAATTCAAATCTGTCTAACCTCAAATTGTTAGCTCTAAGATTTGAATAGTCAACTGTGTCTATCCTCTATGTGATAGCTCTAACAGTTTAAAGCCTGCAGTGATTTCTTCCGAGCCGTAGTCCATCTTAATATCTTCCTTCAAGTGGTAATGCTTTCAATTCAAATCTGTCTAACCTCAAGGTGTTAGCTCTAAGATTTGAATAGTCAACTGTGTCTATCCTCTATGTGATAGCTCTAACAGTTTAAAGCCTGCAGTGATTTCTTCCGAGCCGTAGTCCATCTTAATGTCTTCCTTCAAGTGATATTGCTTTCAATTCAAACCTGTCTAACTTCAAAGTGTTAGCTCTAAGGTTTGAATAGTCAACCGTGTCTATCCTCTATGTGATAGCTCTAACGGTTTAAAGCCTGCAGTGATGTCTTCTGAGTCCTAGCCCATCTTAATATCTTTCCACTAATGATAGCATCTTATATGTGAATTAAGACCTGTCTACCTTCTAAGTCATAGCAGTAAGGTCTGAATAGTTAACCATGTCTATCGTCATAAATAAAAGCTCTAATGCATAGCATTTTGATAACTTATGCTAGATATTCTCTCAACAATTTTAAGTTTACAGTAATTAATTCTGCCTCTCTGCACCGCTTAATATCTACCAGTAGTATTTTTCGTTCTTATTTTATTATATATACATAAATCCATGTATATATTCTAAGTGATAGATCTAATGGTCTGTATATAGGATCTATATAACTCCTCTTAGATATTTTTCCCAGCAGTTTTAATTCAATAGTGCTTTTGCATCCCTATCTCCTCAGTATTATACTTTTCCTATTTCTTCAATACTGTCTGAAACTATGTGCATGTCAAAAGTGGGAATAGTCTTGCCCAACTATCAAATCATTGGTGTATTGGTATATTTTGCTACCTTGATGTCCGGTGATCATGTGAGGGTTCTCTTACGTTGACAATTTTTGGACTTCTTTTGCCAACCCTTGTGAGACTTTCTAGTACTTTTACATCTATAATTTGTAACAAGTTTTTCACTATGTTATACTCATAATATTGAGCCCTTTGTAATAAAAACTATACCATTAATTATCTTTATTTGATTGCTTCCAAATCTCAGTACCGCAAAATATTTTCTCATGTGCAAAAAAAATAAAAAAAAAAAACAAAAACCTATGGTTTTTTGACTCATCGACATTAAGAGGAAATACATAAAAGAAGAATCGTCCCCTAATCTAATATAACTGCCATGGTTTCTGGGTCATGCCTAAAAAACCCCATTGTTAAGTATATAATAATTTTATCTAATTTGATCAAGTTTTAGCTTTGACACTGCTTTATGATCTTGTTGAATAGACTTGAAAGACTTCCTCTCACTGTTTTTTGTTTACTTGGCTCAATTTTAGATTGTATGTTAAATTTCCATATTTTTAATCCTAAATAGTTAATGAATAGAACCCTCTCTATCTTGTTAATATATGAAGCAGGATTTTTATCAACTCTGGGTAAAATTGTACAACATAAGTATTATTTAGTTGTAGTAAGTTTACTATTCATTATAACTATATTGTTTTGCTCAAAGCTTTGTATTGATTTCTACCATTCCCAAAAATATATGCATATTATACTACTTTAATATAGAATAATATCTATGTAATTTACTCTCAATGAAGGACTACAACCCAATTTTTTCTTATTCCATTGGTTTCTCTCCATCCAGTTGAGAAGTGTCAATTTATATTTCAAACGGTTTTATGTGTTATTTTTTTTTGTAATATTATTAACTACCATCTAAGGTCAGAAATTTGCCACTGAATATATTTTACATAACATTATATATATATATATATTATATATAATAAGGTTTTAAGCACAACATTATTAACCTCATTTTACTAATAGCAACCAAAATGGGTTATGCACAATATATCTAGTCACTATTTATATCAGTATTTTTACATAATTCCCTCTTACTACAACAATTTATTTTGTTGCTAACATATTTTGGCAATCAGTGTATGCATCTGTCAGCATAACTCTATTGTGCTTTTACCATACCTAGTTTTAGTTATGAAGGTGATAATAATAACATAAGAGGTATGAATGATACCATACTTAATTTTACTGAATAAATCCATCTTTATTTTATTTTTTAATTATTACTTCACATACTACTTATTTTTAACTTGTCATAACTCTTTAATATCTTACAATAGAAAATTATTTCCTATAATTATTTTTAAATTTATTTTTAATTGTTTAATTTACCACTGTATTAATTAGTGAAGTATGTAAGTTTATATTTTCCCAGATTGATATTTTATGTACCGCTGTAGGCCATTAATGCATTTGCAACTCATCATTCTATTTAAAACCTAATGATGCTAAACACTTCTTTCTTTCTTGTAACTTAGGTTATATTAAATTACATAATACAGCTCGAAAGTAATAATGTGCCTATGTTTAATTTCAATTAAATAATCATGGTCTAGATTTTCTCTATATTATTTTCTCGTCTTATTATATAATAATTGTTATATTATATTCGTTTTACTATCTCTATAATAATAATTTATTGTTTACCTTCTTTACTGAGTTTTTTTAATTATATTTTGTTAATTTTTTAAAATTAATATATTACAATAATCTAAGTCATGAAACATTTTACAGGCTATCTGTTGTCTTTTTATTATTCTTTTAATAATTTAACAAATTTACTGTAATTCAATCTGATACTTACAATACTATTTTTGTTTTTTACTCACTTTTTGCTTACTTATATTTTAAGTGTATTTAACTTTTAACCTTTTGATATTTCATACCAAGGTAAAACAGTTCTCATATCACACTTTTTCTTACTTTCATGTCATATTATCCATCCATCCATTGCAGTCTATAAAAGTCCACAGCTGCACATAGGCCTACCAACACCCAAATGCCTGATAGAGGGGTGTCATATTATGTAGCTTTTTATTTTTTATTTTATGTGTCTACAAAATAATATGTAATAATATACTGTCTTTAGATTTAAAAATGCATGTATTAAATCCCATTTGTTTGGGAATTAACAATTTTAAGGACTAGTAAACTGACTCTCCCTTACACACCGGATAATTTTGTCCCAGAATTCAGTTATTATTTCTAACTTGTTCTGCCAATTTTTTGTGGACGTTAAAGGTTTACATAACCTTAATAAACCCATGAGTTAAGTTTATTTATAGCACTTATTTCTTTTCATAATCAGGATTTTCTGATACTAAAGAAAGTTTAGTTGTAATCTCAGGGTATACAACTAAATCTCAGGGTGTATAATTTCAGGGTCTGCTGCCCCAATTTCTTGACTGATAATGGCGACTGCCCAACGTAAGTAAATGAAAGTAAGAAAAACATTAATATATATCACTTAAAATTTCTCAACTTATCTCTGTACAATGTATCTCAAGCTACATTTATAGGTTAAAATACCTATTTACTATTTCATATTATATGAGTGACGAGGTTAATGAGGGGTATAGTTTCTAAAACCGCATAGTCCATTTTTTTCAAGTAGCAACATTTTTATACGTCTAGTAAGTCCATATTTTATAATACAGGTTAGTGTTTAGTTGACCGATCAAAAGTAACTTTGTCCAATAGAAATTAAAGGTCAAAATATAATGGTTGAATCAAAATCAGCAAAGTCCTAACCCAGTTATTTCAAAATCAGCATTGTCAATTCGGCCAATCAGATGCCACTGTGATATGTCAAAACAGTATGGCGTGAGCCGGTGTAAGAGTCGATTTGGTGAAGGTGCATATTAAATAAAAGTAAATAATTTAAATAGTAAACGTGTAAATTTTATAGTCAAAGTGCATAAATTCCAACAATGGATAAATCACCAATAGTTGTCCAACGAATTAGAGCAAGAAAAAGACTTAGTGGTAAAAATAAATGTAAAAGATATGTGGCGAAATTAGAGCGGTAAGTTAAGTTGTATTTACTGATTTTGATCCTTACAACTTATGTACCTACTTATGTTTTGTTGATGTCGGTAAAATACAGATTCTATTTGTAAGTCCTTTTACGTGATCTTTTAATAATAACAATTATAATAAATTAGTTTATATTACATGTGTATAGATATTTATATTGAATATGTAGGTACTATGAATACTACAAAGACAAGCTTACGGGCGTACTTTTAACGAGATCGTCAGTGATCTTCTCTTGTAAAACGTAATACATTAAAGTATACTCAAGTTTCTTATCTGTGTGTAATTTAATAATATATGTATAATGAGGTTAATAATGTTTGTTACTATATTTTTTTATAGTTTGATGTTTTTTTTTTCAGATACTCTGCAAAGAGCTTACCAGATCGTCCAAATTGTATTCACAAAAAGACATATGAATGTAATTCATTGACAATGAGTGATTTGATCGATTTTCATACGTGTTTTTACAAACATAGGGATAAACGTTCGCAAGATGCATTTATTCTTAAACACATGACAATATCAAAAGTGGCAAGGTATCGGCCTAGAAAATCCAAATACGTGGGGAGGAATTCAAGTAATAAATATTATATACGTTGTAAGTCACTTAAAAAGAAAAAAAGAGTGTCAGAACACATTTCTTGCTATACTGGATATTAAAAGATACCGATTTGCTTCCAGCAAATGCTAAAAGATTTCATAATGAAGGTGTCTTATTAGAGGAGCGTCGTGGGGGAGACCATAAGTCTCATTTATACTCAGCGAGACAGAAAGCAGTAATAGAATTTATTAAAAAATTGAATTGCTCTGAGCCACATTACTGTCGTGGCAGTAGTGACAGATGTTACTTACCCGCCGAACTAAGTATTAACAAATTATTCAAAATATATAACAATAGCCAGGCAGACCGTTTTTTGAAGGTAAAAAGAAGCTATTTTATAAACATATTTAATACAAAATTTAACTTAGGATTCGGCTCACCTCAAACGGACGTATGCTCTGTATGTTTACAATATACAGAAAAAATCAAAACAAATGTTGACGAGAAAGTGAAAACAGATCTAATGATTCAAAAATGAATTCATACAAAAAGAGCCAAAGCTTTTTATAATTACTTCAAGGATCAAGCACCAAACATATCGATTATATCTTTTGATTGTCAAAAAAATATGCCGCTCCCAAAAATTCCAGATCAAAGCACATTATTATTCGCGTAAAATTTTACGTTTATAACTTCACTATTGTTACTGGGCCATCAAACACAAAATTAAATGAAAATAATACTTTTAGTTACATCTGGACGGATGATACTTACGCCAAAGATTCTAACTTAATAGCTTCTGCAGTATTTCACCGATTAAACAATACATAATTTTCACAACAAATAGATACAATCAAATTAATGGCCGATGGGTGTGCTGGTCAAAATAAAAATTTCGCTGTAATTGGAATGTGTCAGAAATGGATGACCACAGCACCCATACATATTAAGAAAATGGAAATAATCTTTCCTATAGTGGGACACTCATTTCTGCCTCCCGACCGCATTTTTGGCAGAACAGAAAAAGAATTTCGAAAACGAGACAATATTGGAACCTTGTGAGTATATAAATATAATAAAAGAAAATGCTACTATAATTGAAGTCGAAAAAGATTGTCTCGTCCAAGATTGGAAGGAAGCTGTTAAGAAGATCATAAAAACACCCGGTCAGTGGCATATCCCTTTTATGAAATGCAAACGATTCATTATAAAGCGATCTAAGTTGTCTTTTGAAAATACAGTAATTAAGGGCGAAATAAATTATATGATTGACACGGGAGTTTTCAGAAGTGTTTGTAAAAAAAATAAAAGAACATCCGAAATTGATGCTCAAAATATGCAAACTATGGGAATCATAAAATCAGCAAAAGTCAAAGATGTCAATAAACTATTAACATCTCATTTTGGTGATTCCTGGAGAACATTTCAAATTTTATGCTTTTATGACAAATTAATACCACAAAATGTAGAAACAGATGTTGATCAACAAGAAGATGAAGAAAATATCTGCGAAGAAAATGTTGACACACCTGATGTTCGAATCTAATTTTTTTTAAATAAAGCTATAATTAATTGTTTTCATATTATTTTTGGTCATACATTCCGTATCCACTTCATATAATATTTATATGATATTTCACTAATAATAATATATTTTCTAGATGCACTTTATGCATAATCTTATCGTTGGCATGTATTTTTCACAACGTATCAATTTGTGTAGTCGTACTATAGCCTAAAAGTAGCATTATCAAAGTCAGCAATGTCCAATGACATTTATTTCAAAAATAGCAATGTCCATATGAATGATTCAAAAACCGCAAAATCCATTATGTTTTCGTATTTTTTTCAGTTTTAGAGCTACTGTTGTACTGCTTATTAACAATAATTGAGAGTGGATCATTCATTATTCGATTCATAATATGTTAAAATTGAACTCGTAATATTAAGTTTTAGGGGGGAAAAGGTTAAATCAATATTTTACTAAATCGTCAACATCGGACTTTGTTGTTTTTGAAACTATACCCCTCTTTTGTTATTAACCCTTAATAGTGAATTTGTTCGATAATTTATCATACTTGTTAATAAATGGGCACAGTGAATCTATTTTTATTATTTAATAAATGTTTTAACTTTATTTATTTTATATACACGTGCACCTACCTCGAACAATAGGATTTTTGTTTACCTTTGATCGGCTGGCTCCATTTTGAATATCTTCCTTTCCCATTTCCCAAGTACATAATCAAATTATTACCACGCAGATACGTAATAAATTTATTTGTAGTAGGTTTTGGATACAAAATATTTGATTTTACACTAAACATATTTAATTTTTACAACAAAAATTATACAAACACACCGTGATGGCTGGCACAAAATAACGTAATGAAGTTGCATTGACGGACGGGTTGATACAGTGTTGCCAGATATACTGCTTTAAAATTTTTTTTTAGCGAGCTTGGATAAATTGTGATGCTGGCAATGAATGCGGCGTACTACAATTGTTAAGAATGTCTAGGACAAGGAGGGAGTATTATTTACAATTAAGGTGATCTACAACCACCAATTCGACCGCCGTGAGTTCCCGTGGTTCCGGGATGACTGGTGTTTTGAGTACTCGATTTTATTACCCCACTGCTCGCCCTATTAACCCACTGCCTCCGCGTAATAAACTTTTTTCTACCTTTTTTAACGCCTTTGGCCGTAGATATTAGTGCACCTTCTGCACTAGACATAAGGCACTTTGTCTGAAATACAGGAAGAAAAGTTATTCTCGTGGATCTGCCAGTATGCGGCGAAGGTACATAATCCGTTCGTAACGACGCGAAGTGGGAACATGAAAAAACGCAGCTAGCGTTCTGGGAATTGTACCGCGGTGAAAAGGTCTATATCAGAGTAAACCTGATGTTTTAGATATATTAATAGTTTTAACAAATCGATTAACGTTTATTTTAGTTTTCATAATTTTCAAAAAAATAATTAAAATAGAGATATTGAATAGCTTCTCTGCGAATTAGTATCGCTTAATTTACTCGCATTCATTCGTTCATGCGACGCTTCACGCTACAGCAGTGTTGCTAGTAGTCGACAACTTTGAGTAACATTTTAATCCATTTTGTGCTTTGCGATAATTTACTAAAATTTTTATAAATCGAATATAATGTCGTTCTTATATACAGTACAAAATGTGAGTTTTGTTTGAGCTTCGAATTAACTTTGTTTTTATAATGTTTATATTTGTTGAATATATTAATAAAATAATCATCGGTAATAATACAATAGTTTCGGTTCACGATCTTTGTCTAATAGTAATTCCTTGTGTAGAGGATAAAGTTTAGCCAAAACTGTCTTATCCTATATGACAATGATGATCCGACAGCTCCGTGGCGCACTGGCAAAGCATTGAGTTGCTCGCTGAGGGCCGCGAGTTCAAATTCCGCATGAAACAAGTATTTGTAAGGCCTAAAAATAATTGTTTCGGGTTTGAATATTTGTCCTAGTACAATTTATGTTTGTAAAATGCTTCAACGATACAGGAGGAAGTCCTAGTGAGGGGTCAAATACCTAGTTTGTAATCACGAGTCCGATGAAAATGCACACCTATAAATTATTTCATTCTTTTGCTGAATACGTGAAATGACAACAAAGTGGTGGAGACTCGCCGAACATTTGGTAAAAGGGGAGGGAGAAAGTAAGTAATGCACTCTGTTAATAAGTGAATTAAAGATGACAGCCTTTTTCTTAACTAGTGACTATAAAATAAGAAATTTTATATATTTCCCCTGAGTTTATTATAATCAAAGCACTTCTATAGCGATATACCAAGCACGGGCAATAATTCTTTAATTTATACTGAAAGCCTTTAGGGTCTTATCCAGAAACTCAACGGTGTTAACTTTTCCAAAGTTAAATATCTGTCTACATAAATTAAATGTTTCAAAAAGAAAAGAAAAAAAAAAACGAGATCGGCTTGTATGGAATAAATTTCTTATTTGAAATTTGGAACAAAAATAAAGTTATTTTTGTTATTCAGGTGCATTTCTTATCGCGGTTAAATATTAAATATTTATTTACTTACAGGGCATTAAATGTAATGGAAAGAAAATACATTTTTATTTTGAAAAGGACAATCATCTCTTTAGAATTTGTCATTTGGATGCACTCGATTTGTATTCTTATTGTTATATAAAATACAGATGATTGGTTATAGCTCAGTGTGTGTGTGTGCGTGTGCGTGTGCGTGTGCGTGTGCGTGTGCGTGTGCGTGTGCGTGTGCGTGTGCGTGTGCGTGTGCGGGTGCGGGTGCAGGTGCGTGTGCGTGTGCGTGTGCGTGTGCGTGTGCGTGTGCGTGTGCGTGTGCGTGTGCGTGTGCGTGTGCGTGTGCGTGTGCGTGTGGGTGTGCGTGTACGTGTGCGTGTGCGTGTGCGTGTGCGTGTGCGTTCGAACCCCAAATAAGCCAATGAAATTGCCAAGTGCTGAAGTCGTGAGGAGACCTGAAGTCAAAGAAGTTAGTTATTTCGACGAAATGTGAAGTCTACTAACACGCAAGTTAGTTGCTCCATAATCCGTTCAGAAATGAGATGCCTGTGCTCAGCAGTGGAACATGTAACTATTTTTTTTAAATTTGGTATTAGTACTTATTTGAATACAAAACGAAAAGCCATTTTAAGTATTTACTGAATATTTTTCTAAATATTTGTTCTTCAGGTTTCCTTTAACTCTTATAGGGAAGTCTTAATCATGGACGGCGGTAGTCACTTAACATCAGGTGAGCGGCATGCTCGTTTGCCCCCCTCTTCTATAAAAAAAAAAGATTTATAAACGACAAGTTATATTATACTATATATATATATATATATATATATATATATATATATATATATATATATATATATAAGGTTTAAATTATTCATTATTCAAGTCAGTGCCGTAACAGTATCATAACACAAATTTTTTTTGATATGAATAATAATTCCTATATTAACAAACAACTTTGTTGTGAAAATCATTACACGGTTTAAATATTTTACCTTTTTTATTATTATTAGCTTTACTCTTCGTATCGTAATGTAAATATCACACTTTTATGTGGCAAAACTTCACGGTTGAAGTTTAAAAGGCTTAAAGATTTATATATTTACAGCATTAAGGTGTTAAATAAAAAAGTAATTTATGTATACATTCGTCACGGAGCTTTACGGAAAAGCGTAGTTTTCTTCATATTTCCACACAGCAATCCCTAAACGTAATTTATCAAAACCTCGAAAGCATTTTCTTTTTGTTAGCTGTATTTTCTCTATTTTCTCTGAATGAAACAGTAATAGAATATTAATAACTGTCGCTACAAATCTGATTGTTATATAAATAAATTTAAAAGTAAAAACTGTTAATCTTATGTTCTGGATTTAGATATTTAATATATTTGAAGTATTTAATTTAGACATTTAATTTTCATGATATTTTATATAAACTGATTTAATTTACGATAGTCAAAAAAACAATGAAAATTTCATTCATTAATTTAATTCTTGACTTTATTTATTTTGAAAGTTAAGAAATAATAGCAAATCGGAAAATGATTGTTAGACAATTACAAAGTATTAATTTTTTAATTTTTATTCCGGTCTACGCAGTATGAACTTACAATGGGATTTAATTTTATTATTTATAGGATCCCAAGTAGGTGGCGGCATCCAGCCATCTTCTCTTGTGGTCTACCAAATCTGATATAATGGTTGGGACGATCCTGAACTGTACTTCACATTTTTTTATAGGATAGGATGACAAACGAGCACACAGTCCACTTGATGGTAAGTGGTTGCTGTGGCCCATAGACATCTACATCTCTCCCCGATTACGAATAAAGATGCGGATGCGTTGTCATCCGTGAGGAATTAGGTGGAATGCCTCGTTTTCGTGGAATGGAAACGACGCACGAAAAACGGTTTTCTACACTCACCATACGAAACACAGCAGCATTAAGCTACTATTTGACGCTGGTATTCTGTGAGAGCGTGGTTCTTCCCCGGTCGAGCCGACCCATTCGTGCTACAACTATACTACTAATATAACTGCAGCATGGCTCTACCACGTAAATGATCACTTCAGCGATATCTTCTCTCCCGCGGGTTTTTATCGATCTTATAGTTTGTCCTATGTAAGAGAGACCACATTAACAATCATGCTTGTATATCTCCTGTATTTTGCAGAGGACATTACACTTGATTCATTGTAAAAACTGACTAATCACGCGGGTTTCGTTCTGACGTTGGCACAGATGTTTGACATTTATTGTGTAATTTGGTTAATTTTGGCCAGACCCGAGATCAAAACTCAGGGCTACATGATCAGCAGTCGAGCTTACGATCAATAAGTCAACAAGACAGTTACACATTATAGCATTAATATACATTGTAATATATATTGAACACAACATTTTCACAATACGAACATTTTAGAAAAGTTGTATCTACGTTATGCCAAACTTCCACAAACTATCCGGAGTTTCGCATCTGTTCAAAACTCTCTGTGTTATAAAATTGA